GGAATGTAGTTCGGTTTGTGTTGGGCTTTAGGCCTATCAAATGTGGAACGAGTATTACGGCTTCCACTTAGGCTTACTGATCAACAAGCTTTGGCTGAACACCCACACGATAGGTACTTAGGCGTCCACAGTAGCTTACTGACCATCGAGACACTAAATAGGAATCCAGTATTGAGTTCAATATTTTTTTTCAAATAGGTTTAAAGACATCACACTAGATATGGCTATTGATTGTGGCATTTCAGTTCAGCTGTGAGCTCATTTGTCGTATTTAAATACGACATTTCGAACCCAGACAGCCAGGGTTCCCATGCACCTTAGCGTATCCAGCACTTTACCCGCTAGACCACACTGACTGTTCAAAAGGATTGGAAGTCGTCAGACCCTTAACCCAATCCCTGACAACACTCATTGGTAATTTTTGGGGACAGATATTTCATCGAATCATCTCGCCGAGTGTCAGAATTGACCACCAAATGCTGTCGGGGATTGGGTTAAGGGTCTGACGACTTCTAATCCTTTTGAACAGTCAGTGTGGTCTAGCGGGGTAAAGTACTGGATACGCTAAGGTGCATGGGGCCCTGGCTGTCTGGGTTTCAATCCTTCAGCCCGTACCAGCTGTCTAACTAGGGCACCTATTTACTGCTAAGTGAATAGGTGCATTAGGATGAACAAAACTGCCCATTTGTTTCCGCCTCCGCCGGGAATCGAACTCGGGCCATTAGAACTACTAACTCCTCCAAATGCTGTCCACTCAGCCGCGAGGCCCCTCACGTGTTTCAGTATTTTTCACATGTGTCACATGTCAGTATGTGTCACATGTCAGTATGTGCCATATGTGTCAGCATACCAATATGTATGACATGATAGCATATATCACATGCATCAGCATATGTCATGTATCATGTGTGTCAGCATGTATCACCTGCCACCATGTATATGTTGACAGGTTTAGTATATACCATTTGTGTATACTGCGCCTGTGACCCCATAGGAGGTGGGTGGGGTGACAGTAGAGTAGGGCGGACGTGGCTGGGCTGGACGTAGCTGGGCTGGATGTGACTGGGGTGGACGTAGCTGGGCTGGACGTGACTGGGGTGGATGTAGCTGGGGTGGACGTGACTGGGCTGGACGTGGCCGGGACTGGACACGGTCCCTGTGTTGACATTTTTAAAGGTTGTGTGTTTTTGCTGCTATAGGTAAAGTATGAGGAGTAAAAATTTGTTTTATTTTTCCCTGCAGGACAGTGAATGATGCTATACAAAACTGTAAGAAAAATAGTTTTTTATTTTTTTTTAAGTTATTAGCCAGACGGTAGCCAGCTGCCTGTCCCCAAATCTTCGTGTGGGGGTCACTATATGATCATGGCTCGCTGTTCTCTCTTGAATTATGACGATCCCGACCCGACCATGTCGGATCCATACCCCACAGAAATCAGGGTGCAAATTTGGGCAAGTCTAACCTCCAAGACCAACAACCTCTGACAGATGGACATTGTAGGGAGTAGATATAGACATTAAATATAACTGTAAAATGCTGTCATATTTCTGAATATGAACTAGTCAGTCATTCACTCGAAAGAGAGTTATTAGGTATAAATGCTAAGCCAGTATGATTATATATGACAAGGAAGGGGCAAGAGGACAGGATTGGCGCTGAGATATTAGAGTGAAGTAAAAGAATTGTCCCCAATTCTGCACCATTGAGGATAGGACGCCGACCTGCAAGAAGCGAAGTCTTTGCTGTACCGACACTGTCCGGGACAGTGAGTCAAGTGGGAAGAATAACTAGACCGGCTGTGTTTAGTTTAGTGGTTGTACCACTTAATACATGGCAAGCTGTTAAGACTGAGTTCTTGCACTCAAACATTGAGTGGCAGCTGCAGTCTTTCTCTCTCTCTCTCTCTCTCTCTCTCTCTCTCTCTCTCTCTCTCTCTCTCTCTCTCTCTCTCTCTCTCTCTCTCTCTCTCTCTCTCTCTCTCTCTCTCTCTCTCTCTCTCTCTCTCTCTCCCCTCATTCCCCTCCCTCAAAGTGGGTCTGGGGTAACATTTTTAATGGATAGTTCAGAAGCTCAAATATTTAGAGTAGCTTAGATTTAGTGGTGGAAGCGGCCATGATGGAGACGCTCGCTAAGTCCAATATTTAAGGTATCACACAAAGAGGATGGAAGGGTGGGGGTGAACGGGGTGAGGGCGGAGGGGCCTTGTGATGAGGGTGGGCTGGAGAGAGAGAGATGATGATGTAGGTGATGAGGGGGAGGTGGAAAGTGAAGGGGAAGTGCAGGGAGAGTGAGGGGGAGGTGCAGGGAGAGTGAGGGGGAGGTGCAGGGAGAGTGAGGGAGGAGCAGGGAGAGTGAGGGGAGGTAAACAAAGGGTTGTGTGCTACAGAAGGGTGTCAGAGGGGAGACCCAGACTGTGTAAGTCACTGGCGACAGGAGTGTACACATTTTATGTTTAATATTAACGTCGCTGGACGACTGCTTCGCGCCTTCTGTTTATAATTACTCGTTTCCCGGAATACATCAGAATCTTTTGTTCAATTTTGTAAGGCGAGTGAGGCGGCCTGTTGTACCATCCCTCCAGCAGGTCGGGACGTTCCTACGTCGCCGCCAGTACTGTTGACACCTCACTACATCATATTTGGAAGAAAAAACTGTAAGATTGCAGGTAAATTTGTCCTAGAAATGTAGCTTGTCCTTTATCCCCGTGGTTCAGTTGTGACCAATCCAGTGTTGGCCGCGGACACGCTGGGTTGGCACTTTTCACCCGTTAGCTCCAGTGCTAACGGATGAAAGGAAGGAGGAACTTCCTCCTTCCTTTCTTACAAGGAAGGAGAATCTTCCTCCTCCTTTCCTTGCAAGCCCCTTCGACTTATACACTCGCCTTCTCTCCTATGATCATCTTTTTACCTTTTCTGCACTCCAGTCTGCCTGGTCCCTCTGAAATTCTTCCGTGGTAGGCTAGCATTGTAGTCACTCTAAATGCTCCGGTGTCTCTGTCTCTGCTGTTTGCAGTATTTGCTAGATATCATCAATCGTGTTTGGGACGTGACTTCAGTCCCCGAATGCTGGCTGGAGGCGGTTGTTCTTCCCATTATAAAACCTGGCATTCAAAAGACTTCCCCCAATGGATTTTCGTGCCATTGCCCTGACAAGCTGTGTCTGCTAACTCTTTGAGTGTATATTTAATCTAAGTCCAATTTGGTTTTCGCAAGTCTCGTAGCTCGACGGATATTTTAGTGGACATGGAGGTCTACATTAGTACTTCCTTTTCTGCTAGTTCCTCCGCTGTTGTTCTTTTTGACTTGAAGAAGGCTTATGACACCACCTGGAGATACAATATTAAAGCTTCCTCTTTCGTCGTTGGTTTCAAGTGAGAGTTAGTGCTGCTTTCGTGAACTCTCTTCAACAGTAGGACGTTGTTCCCCAAGGTAGTGTTCTGAGCACTGCTCTATTTCTGGTTTCCCTAAATGTTCTCTCTGGCATTTTCTCGGCCCTTCATGTTGGCAATCTCACTGCTGTCATGGTAACGACTCCTCTTCCCTCCAACGCCAGCTCCAGCTCGCCATCGATAACGAATCATCCTGGGCCACCAATCTTGGCTTCAGATTGTCTATGACTGTGACTTGTGTTATGACTTTTACTGTGAGGCATTCCGTTCCCCGTCTCCCATTGTCACTCTGGTAATCCCCTAATGTTTAGGGATTCTGCCAAACTCTTGGCGATGATGATTGATGCCCATTTGTTTTGGTCACCCAATGTTGCTCACCTCCGAGTTGAATGTTCTAAGACCTTACTTAGTCTTGTCCCATTCTTCCTGGGAGCTGATAAGCTCACACTACTCTTGTATAAACTGGAGTATGGCTGCCTCGTATGTTCTTTCACTGCTCCTCAAGAGGGACTCGTTTCCTCTCACTGCCTTCATTTTTTTGCTAGGGTGGCTCGTATCTACTAGGGTGGCTCGTATGTGCAAGGGTGGCCCGTATCTACTAGGGTGGCTCGTATCTACTAGGGTGGCTCGTATCTACTAGGGTGGTTCGTTTCCAAGACACTCTCAGTTCACACTGGCAACGTCACTCGTCATGTTTCTACTTTGCCCCAATGGAGAGTGCCAATTGTAAAATTTTGCAAGACTCTCATCCACATAGTGGTCTTATACTTCCCCTATGCCTTTAAAAAAGCTTTTCCTTGAACCTTTTTCCTCTCGGTCACACTCGTTACTCAGTTCCCAGATGGGTCTAGCAACCTGTCCTCTCGCAAAGAACGTCGCATTTCGCTCTTATGCGTTACATAAGGCAAAAAATAGCCGTACTTGATGTGGATTTCCTACTCTAGCCAAGCTGGAGGCTGTCGACTCGCTCATGACCAGTGACCAGTCCTGCTTAACTGTCCAAGGAACGTCATTCAGTGGTTTTTGTTTTAGAGTTTGACTGAATGCCAATATACCGTTTAGTTTACCTGTCAACTTCCGGAGAAACATTAAGGCCGCCCAGATCGCTTTGTTGTACACGGAACAGACAAATTTACTTCTCAGTGTACCGGTCAAGACATTTAAACAACACACTGTAGATGCTATAGTGTGTAACGAAGGTATTATGATGGCAAGTGTTCAAATATTACCAAAAACTGTCAAGTATATTTTGGAAAAAGGAGTTGGTGGTGAATGGCTTGGATGTAAACTTAGGTAGCATAATAAAGCTCGATAAACGTTGTGTATATAAATAACCCCAACCTGCACATATGGAAAAAAGGAAAATGATGACGTTTTGGTCCGTTTTGGATCCTTATCAGGACTTGATAAGGGTCCGAAATGGGCCGAAATGTCACTTTTTTATCTCATTTCATGCGGGTACAGTTGCTGGTTTCAAGTTTCGTTATTGTGATTTCCTCTGCATTTGTGTGTATACTTAGCGACGAACCTCGTGGTGTTGAGGTCAGGGAGATGTGGTGTTTGGTGAGTGTAGCCGACCAAGCACAAAGACACACAGGGAAGAGTGACTTACCTATAGTAGTGATGACGGTGAGGGAGTAGAGGAAGGAGCCAGCGAAGGTCCACTGGTAGGATGCTTGAGCTGTGGTGGGCGCCGGGTTGGGCGCAGGTTGTTGCTCGTGCAGTCTGGTCAGCAACTTCTCACTGAACTTGAGCAGCTCCTGTTCTGCAACTCGGGTCCAATTGTCGCGGTACAGGATGTTGAGAGACTCTGTGATAGTCCACAAGTGCTCGACTGTCTCGTGACGGAGTCCGCGCGCGTGTTGGCGGATGGACTCCATGACCGCCGAGTCCCGGGGAGGGGCCGGATGGTCGTTGTGTGGGTCGAGCTGTAGTGCCATGTCCCCACCTTCGATGGTGGTGAAGAGGAAGGCGCCAGCCACGGTGTACAGGAGCACCAGGGCACACACGCCAATGTTGGAACACAGCATGGACACCAGGCGAGAACAGCAGATTGAACATCGCCCAAGGGAGCGCGATGACCGCTGATTATACTGGAGCGCCGTCAGATCCCCGCTTCTGTGGCCGTCCATGGCTACTGCTGTCAGCACACACCACCCCCCACGGAGTGTCCCGCCTCACCTACACACCCTCACTATACACACACTGCCCATCGCTCCACTCTCCAGGTGGCCGGGACGCCATGGTGGTCCTCGTACTATCAGGCCGCAGCTGGTAATGTTGCATGTGGCGGAGCTCCACTGTGCTGGCAGTGTTGGTCCGCTCTTATATTGCGCAAACAAACTTTTTTAATGAGAGTTGTCTCTCCACACTATGGAGCTCGGGAGGCCTGACTCTTTGCCTGACTCTCACAGTCTGTATCACCACTATATATATATATCACAAACTTTTGAAACCTTCAGAGTTGATGAAAATATGTAGTGTTTTCGTAATCTGTTAAGAAATAAAATATTAGACAAAAATATCATTATGTACAATTATAATTTCACAAGTTTATGTAAACTCAAACGATATTTGTAAAAATAATTTCGTAATATTTAATTGTTCAATGATTATGGTACTACATTGGCCGGCATATAGACGACTTTATAATAATTTCTGAAAACATAAATATTTGTCATCATACAATTATGGTAAGTGATGTTCAAATGGTTTGTTGGAGATGTGGAGGCCAGATGTTTAGGGCTAGTCTAACCATAGTGCCCAGGATGACTGTTGGTTGCCCACGGATGGACACCCAACAGTCACTCTGGTATCATTTGCATGTAGTGGGAAATAATACCAATTTCCAATTTCTCTGAATTCCAAGCTCCATCCTAACTAAAATTGATCGAGCATATTATTTTTCACCCTGGCCTCAGGGAGGAGGTACCCTGGAGGTAATCACTTCAAAACTACCATGTAATTAGTGCTATTATCTGCTCCCTGACCATGGTTAGGTTAGGCTTCAGTACATTTGGTTACGTTAATATGGTGAATTATTCTCAATTATGTGACATGAAATTAAAAAACTATTTGAGTACCCCCTAGATGTTCATTTACAGACAAGCAAATTCTTCAGTTTCAAAGAAACGGAGTTAAGCATAGAATTTTATATTTTAAACCAACGATTTATAATAAAGCTATAAGTTGAGAATATTCTCTGTTTAGGACAAAGGTTCACTTATCATTTTACAAGTAGACTGTTATTGGACTCATAATATGCTCTCAGACCATCACAAACATCTAGATAACTATCCAGGTGGTGTGAGAATGGTGCCCCGAGGACGGGCTCCTCCTACATGATTAAATGATAGTTCATCTTATGGAATTTATTGATGATTAGAGCTGAGTTAAGATGATTACAGTGATGACGGGAAAGTAGTGAATGGTAGGGAAGGTGGTGAAGGAGAGGGAAGGTGGTGCAGGAAAGGCAAGGTTGGGAAGGGTTCTTGAGGTTATCTTGAGATGATTTCGGGGCTTTAGTGTCCCCGCGGCCCGGTCCTCGACCAGGCCTCCACCCGCAGGAAGGAGCCCGTGACAGCTGACTAACACCCAGGTACCTATATTACTGCTAGGTAACAGGGGCATAGGGTGAAAGAAACTCTGCCCATTGTTTCTCGCCGGCGCCCGGGATCGAACCCGGGACCACAGGATCACAAGTCCAGTGTGCTGTCCGGTCGGCCTACCGGCTCCCATGGGTAAGGAAGGTGGTGAAGGGCCTCCATCACCCTAGCACCACCAGGCACCTCAACCAGCACAATATAGTGATGGTGGTGGACCAAGAGCATGCGTCCAGCCCCCCCCCCCCCCCTGGTTCAGACCAGACCTTCCACCGGGAAAGCTCGCTCGCTTCTAGCGGCTAAATCATCAAATTCGCATTTGCGTGTGTGCGTGTGCGCGCGCTGCGGGCTTCCCCCCGCAGCTATTTGCTCCTTGATCTTGTTAACTGGGGCCCCTCGGGACTCCCCTCGTGCCCTGGATGTCACCGCAAATTTTCAAGAAAACTTTTCGAATCTCTATTTCACTTTTATTGCAATATGTTGCTGTTGGTTCTTGCCTGTTCTTAGAAGAAGCTTTACAGTTATGTCGCGGCTTTCACAATTACTCACTATTACTACGCTATCTTCACTATTACTCCTGTACTCACCCAGGTGAGTACAGGAGTACAATGGTACATTGTACAATGGTACAATGGCATTGAGGAGTACAATGATGACTTCTGACTCCAGGTAGCAGGCTGAGAGCTTTCCCTGCCCATTGCTCATGGTAAGCCTTACACCGCTATTTGACTTGGAACACAACCTGCCCGTATCTTTACAACCAGGTTGCCGATTATTGTTGTGTAAACAGGAGCGAACAGTTCATAATCGGTGTCCGGTCGAACCTGCCTGACCAGGGCTCGAAACCGATCGAAATCGGTAGCGAGGCAGGTTGCCACTCAGCCAGTCTCTTACGTCATACTGTTAGATGATGATGTTCACTGTTGATGTTCTTCACTGTTGCGGGATGTTCTTCACTGTTGCGTGATGTTCTTCACTGTTGCGTGATGTTCTTCACTGTTGCGGGATGTTCTTCACTGTTGCGTGATGTTCTTCACTGTTGCGGGATGTTCTTCACTGTTGCGGGATGTTCTTCACTGTTGCGTGATGTTCTTCACTGTTGCGGGATGTTCTTCACTGTTGCGGGATGTTCTTCACTGTTGCGTGATGTTCTTCACTGTTGCGGGATGTTCTTCACTGTTGCGGGATGTTCTTCACTGTTACGTGATAATGTTCACTGCTATATGATATTATTAACTGTTACGTAATTACATTCAGTGTTATGTGATATCGTTCACTGCTACTTAATATTTTTCACTTTCGCATGGCATTGTTCACTGTTATATAACAGTATTCACTGTTATGTGATTATGTAACATTGTTCACTTGTAATGACGCAGTGTTTAGCCTGTGTGGCTTTACGAAGTGGGTTAAGTTGGAATTATTTATTATATTGTAATAAGATACTTGGGGGTCACAGAGCTGGAGCTCTACCCCAGGCACTGGCTTCTAGTAACCAGGGGCGAGGGGCCAGATTCACGAAGCAGTTACGCAAGCACTTACGAACCTGTACATCTTTTCTCAATCTTTGGCGGCTTTGTTTACAATTATTAAGCAGTTAATGAGCTCCGAAGCACGACGAGGCTGTTTATAACAACAGTTGATTGGGAAGTTTTTCGTGTTTCGAAACTGTTTAATAAATGTAACCAAAGCACGTCAAAGAAGAAGATGTAGACGCTCGTAAGTGCTTGCGTAGCTGCTTCGTGAATCTAGTCCCAGTACTTTAGGCAATGCTAGTCTAGAAATCGGCGTTGCTGTAATTATTATTCAATACGTGTCATTTTACTCTGGATATAAATAGTTTATATTTTATCATAATGGTACTTTAATTTGCTAAACCGTACTATATAAATTTGTATATTTATTGTAAATAATCCTGGGGCCTATTTAACGGTTTCGTCGATTCCGTAATAAATGCGATGTATTATTAGGTCGTAGGAGGAGTAAGAGGAGAAGGGACAGCGCCTCAGTCCTTCAGGAAGTGGATGATAATGTGAACAAATGAGAAAATATGATGATTGAAGGGATAAAAAAAGATTAGCGATGGAAATAGCTCTAAGGCGCGCTATTACGATCGTCGAATCACGTGACAAGCGCCATTAAGGTGAGACTCCTCTATCACAGAGACGCTGTGGTGGCTGCTCCCACTTAGGCCCTTCTTTCACGCTTCTCGAAAAGAACGTAATTGCTAATGAACTTTGGTCTAAATAGGGTCCTCAACGGGTATGGGTTAACGAACACCTAACGAATATGGATTAAACGCACCAACGAGTACGGGGTAACGAACACGCACCAACGAGTACGGGTTAACGAACACGCACCAACGAGTACGGGTTAACGAACACGCACCAACGAACACGGCTCGGCGAACACACACCTGCAACGCGCGTGTGTGTGGCTTAAATAATGAGCTGTGAGCAAATCTGTGTTACCAGTTCCCAAACTGCGGTGACGTGTGGCTGTAAACACAACGCCAGTCACTCGGAAAGATTGTCACTGGGAATCGACTGTAGCCTCTTGAAATAACCGCCCCGGACTCCTTTGGACTACGGGCTCACCATAGCCCGTGCTACTTGGAACTTATTGTTCCAGGAAGCGAATCTTTAACAACAACAACAAACTCGGACTCTCAGAGTGGTGGTACGTGCTCCCCACACCACCCCCTTCACACTCACTCGCACGCACGCACGCACGCAAACATACACGCACGCAAGCACATATACATTCTATATGTATATATGGAACCTGTACATCACTTGATGTGGATAAATGCCTGTCACAGGGCTGACAGCTGAGGGGATAGCGCTTCGGATTCGTAGTCCTGAGGTTCCGGGTTCGATTCCTGGTGGAGGGGGAAATAAATGGGTAGAGTTTCTGTCACCCTGATGCCCCTGTTTATCTAGCAGAAAATAGGTATCTGGGAGTTAGCTGCTACGGGATGCTTCTTGGGGATGGGAGGGGGGTGTAACGAAAAGGAGGCCTGGTCGAGAACCGGGCCGCGGGGACACTAAGCCCCGAAATCATCTCGACGATAACTTCAAACAATAAGATGGTTTCAGAGGCCGTACCAAGGAGCCCAAGCTGATCCCATACAATCACAACTAGGTGAGCACACACACACACACACACACACACACACACACACACACACACACACACACACACACACACACACACACACACACACACACATCTTCCAGCTCACGTCGCTGGAAGACAGAAGAGCTCTGGAAGATATTATCACGTACAAAATTCTCAGGGGAATTGCCAGGGTGGACAAGAATGGATTATTTAACACGGGTGGTACACGAACAAGGGGACACAGGTGGAAGCTGAGTACCCATGTGAGTCACAGAGGCATTAGAAAGAACCTTTTCAGTGTCAGAGTAGTTAGTAAATGGAATGCATTAGGCAGTGATGTAGTGGAGGCTGACTCCATACACAGTTTCAAATGTAGATATGATAGAGCCCAGTAGGCTCAGGAACCTGTACATCAGTTGATTGATGGTTGAGAGACGGGACCAAAGAGCCAGAGCTCGATCAATATAATGTACTGTCTATCACCTAATGAATATCAACACTAACCACCACATCCACCCACCATCACAACTACTAACATCTTCCACAACAACCACAATCACCATTCCATTCACAACCATCAATCACAACTCCAAGCATCGTCCACAACCACCACCCACCAAAACCACCCACCACCACAACCACTACCCACCACAACCACCACCCACCACAACCACTACCCACCACAACCACTACCCACCACAACCACTCACCACAACCACCACTAACCACAACCACAACCACCACAACCACTACCCACCACAACCACTCACC